TCTGGGTCACAAGGATAAAACACAAGGCACTGGAAGGCAACCAATATTTGGCTCTCCACCATACACAATCTCACATCATCATAATAGACCCCTAAGATGGCAATTGACTTCCCATCAATTGACTTCCCTTGTACTGGAAAGCCAGCAATCACAATCAAGTTGGAATGGAAAGCCATGGTAATTCTGTGACATTTCCTTCCCAGGTGTGGTAAGATCAGCTGATTTTGTCAGGCTTGAGCTTCCTTGAGCAAGAAGTTCACACAAAATCCTATGAAAGCAAAGAAGCTTCCCTTCTGGTTCTGCATATGTCCTAGAGCACCTGCACATGTTATAGACGTATTAAGATTCAATACACAGGCCTTCCTTAGCAGTCTAGTGGTTAAGACTTTACCTTCCAATGTAGAGGGTATGGGTTTAATCCCCGACTGGGGAGCTAAGATACCACATGCCTTGCGGCCAAAACACCAAAACATAAAGCAGAAACAATATTGCAACAAATTCAGTAAAGACCTTAAAAACGGTCCACATAAAAAAAATAATAATAATAATCTGAAAAAAAGAAAACTCAATAAAATTATTTCAAAAAAACATTCAATACATATTTATTCATTGACTTAATAAAGAAATGAATGAGTCAGTGAATGAATGAAGGCTAACCTTTATTAAGTATACGGGTCAGGCACTCTAAGTACTTGGCGTGTATTCTTTTATCTAACCTTCTTGATATCTGTGATTATTGTCCATTTTACAGATGATTAAACTGAGGCTAGGAAAGTAAGACATTTACCCAGGGTCACACAACTTGTAAGTGACACAGCAAAAATTCCCCCGGCTTTTCTGCCTCAGAATCTCCATGCTTAGCTATGTTGCTACATGCCTTCTCAGTAAATGGATTCCTCAGAATTAATGCATTTCTCTGGAAATCTCAGCCTCCCTATATGAAGACAGATGGTCTCTGATGTTCCAGCCCTATGAAAAAAGCACAAAACATTGGGAGTTGAGGGTGACTAGTTCAAAAGGTACAAAAATCTAAAAATATATTGGCTTCACTCAGATATTTGTCCAATAGGGGTGGAACAACTTTAATTAGTGTAACAGGACAATAGGAATTAAATTGGCTTGGTCAGAAGATTTTTACAGGATGACACTGACAGTATTACTATCCAACTTCAAAGATTTGGAAAGATGTCCCTGCTAACACTGGAGAATAGAAACCTGTTTTTCATCAACTAGGCTGGCCTGACAAATTAAGTCTGTGGAGTCATTAGATTAAGATAAGAGCTTATCTCCTCAGCTGACATTTATTCAGAGGTTTTTATACTGCTCAGCTAGTAATTAGTGCTGTTGAATTTTTAACACTGCTTTGTCCACTCATTCAAAACTTCTAGAGATGTATTTGCATCTCCTGTGCATATTTTTGGGTATTAAAAATAGAAGAGAAATATAAGTGAATTACTTTAAGAGGTTTGAAGAATTCTTCCAAAAGTTATTCTGAGGTAAAACCTGCAGCTTAATGATTTATTTCCAGAAGAAGGGACCAGTTCTCCCAAACTGATAAGTGTGGAATAAAGAGTTGGCTTTTACTACGAGATCTATCATTTATTTTGAGGCGTCTATATTATAGGTTTATAATGTTCTAGTGGAATCATTAAAACTAGGATTGCATGCCATAATGGTTTCCTGCTGTTTCACACCCCAACTCCCTATGATAGCGTCCCTACTGTTGCTCAAAGTTGGGGGGTTCTTTTAGTTTCTTTCCTATGACTAATTTGACTGTGAAAGGCTTATTTTTCCAGTTTTCTTGTAGTTATAATAACAACTTGATTACTATAGAATAAACTAATACATTAAGCCTGCATGAGTGTCTTGACAGTCTGTCAAACAAACGATGCTCACATTTTTAAATGCATGGTTTGCCAAATTCCAAGTTCTATGGTGAAATACTAATTAGTAATCAGATGGGTAAGACTCCCTGTTTTAATAAAGTCCATCACTTGGTTAAAGCTGCATCCCATTACTATTACTATAACATCATTTATTCTGCCCTAAGTGTAGACATCTCTCTCATCATTCAACATACTGTGTTTTCCACTTTAAAAAAAAAAATTGGCAGAAAGAATTCTGTAGGGACAAGTAAAGGTATGTGACTCTCCTAGTTCACCTTACCACCACCCAAAAAGAAATCTCAAAGAAGACTCCGAATGCTTCAGAGATCTAGCCTGGAAAATGGATTCTCTGTCACAAAAGTGTGATGACAAAGTTTTGAAGTTAATAAGCTTCTGAAAAAGTTCACTGTGAATCAACTGATGTGTGCAGTAGAGAGACAAGTACCTCTTGTCAGGCACATGCACTGTGAACTGTCCCAGAAAGCAGGGGGAATTTTTCGCATTTGTTACAGCAGAGCTCCCCCACCCATGGGCCACAGAGCAGCATGGGTCCACGGCCTGTCAGGAACCGGGCCGCACAGCAGGAAGTTAGCAGCGGGCAAAACAGAAATCACTGCCCACCCCCACGCACGGAAAAATTGTCTTCCTAGAAACCAGTTTCTGGTGCCAGAAAGGTTGGGGACCGCTGTGTTACAGCACACAATCATCACTTCTCAGCACCCCAAGTAAATTCAAATATACGCTTGACATCCCTAGAATGTACTGGAATGAAAAGCTTACCACTTCAAAAAGCCACTGAACCTCAGTTTCCTTAACTAAAAAAATAGACGTTTGCACAGGATGGTCTTTAAACACACATCCTGGGGTCCTGGGGGTTGCCGTGGTGGCTCAGCGGTGAAGAATTCACTTGCCAGTACAGGAAATGCAGTTGTGATCCCTGGGTCAGGAAAATCCCCCAGAGTAGGAAATGGCAGCCCACTCTAGTATTCTTGTATGGAGAATTCCATGGACAGAAAAGCCTGGCAGTTTACAGCCTGTGGGGTCGCAAAGAGTCGGACACAACTGAGCGACTGAGCACACGCTCACATACCTAGGGTTCTGAATCTCAGATTTGAGATCTGACCCCCAAGGTGGAAGCCTGAGAAGACGTAGAAAATTATCACAGAAGAAGACCCCACTGAGTTTAGGGTCATCTGAGGAATCTGTAAAATTAAATTAAATAGAGTAAATAGAAACTCTGAAATTATGTGATTAGATTTTGTCATCAGATAGAGGTCAGAGTATATTTGTTGAACAAATGACTGAATGAGTGAGTGAGTGAATGAATGAACTGAGAGGTAGACTGGGATACTGAGCCTTGGAGTCAGGCACATCTGGGTTCAACTCCTAACCCAGCCATATACTTGTTTTTGCCCTTGGAAAACACCCCTCTCTGAACCTGCTTCTTCATTAGTAAATCAAGGATAATAACTAGCTCATAAATTTGTTGCCAAGATGAACAAAAACCTATATAGGTGCTCAGAAAACATTTGTTTTCATTTCTTTACTTCTAGGAAATGTATGGTTCCATATACATTAAGCTGTAAAAATATCACCACCCAGCTTTCAAATTCATGTATTTACCAACTACCACCAACACATTTGTATATGTTATCATCCTCTGTTAGTGGGAAATGAAAAAGAAAGGAGAGAAAAAAGAACATAAAACTTCCCTTCCAACTCCCCGTGGATAATCAGGCCTGGGGAAGGTAGGCGTCTTTCAGTATGTTTACAACAAACTCCATCTCAGTACTTGGCCTTCGTTAACTCATCTCCCACCCCACCCCCAGCTTTCTGAAGAGCAACATGTAATTATAGCACTAACGAGGTCATTTAGCAGAAACCATGGGTAGGGAGTAATGAATGTGCTATCAGGCTCGGAGAACAGCTTGGGCACAAATCCAAATAGTCCATGTTCAACTCTGATGAGCCGACCTAAACTTGGAAAACAGAGCTTGGGAAGAGGTTAATAATAGGACATGAAAATTGAAAGGCTCCTCTCCAGAGAGACCCAGAGCAATGTTTTGAGCATGATCCTTTGGGAGCTGGTCTGTGCAGACATGAGGAGAAGCTGGGTGACACCCGGTACCTATTAAGATGGTTTGGGTGCTTCAGCGCCATTACTGAGGATTTGTAGAGTATAAACCTGGAAGGGACTTCAGAGGTCATCTTCTTCCATCTCCCCATTTTACAGATGAGTTTAGAGCACTCCTGAGAGCTGAACTGGCTTGATCAGTCAATAGAAACAGAGCCAGCTCCACACCAGGGCCTCCAGATAAACAGGTGTTTGACTCACTAGCCTATGCTGTCCCCTTGCCTCCAAGGATGACATTCAGGAGACCATTTGGACAGTGTGTAATGATACTTTGAGTGAGGCTAATGTTGCTTGGACCAGTTCTAGGGTAATTAAGTCCCAGAGGAATAAGCCTATCCACCTACCAGTTTGTATTTGGAATTACTGCTCTTAATTGAGTGGCAATTGCTAACATGGCTGTGGCTTTCAACTATATAGAAAAGTGGAAAAGAGAAGCCAAAAGAAGCCAAATCCTTGGCCCCAAAGCCAGAACCTTGCCCACCCAACTCCCACCTCCTAGGTCCCAGAGTCCTTGCCTGCATTTCTGCAAGCACCAAACACTGCCAGTAAGTAGGTTAAAGAATAAGCCTCAGACTACTACTCTTTACAGTTTATAGATGTTACTGAAATGAATAAAATAAAAATTACTATAAAAGCATTTGGTCATTGTGCTTTTCCCCCAATTAATAATATTAAAATTACAATAAAATATTCCTAACTAGAGAAAGAAATTGTTCATTCACTCTCAATACTTGAAGTGGTGAGTACAAAAGTATTAAGATTCACAGGAATGGATTTTCATTTCCATGAGCATCTATTAAGCACTTACCAAATACACAACACAACCAAGCAGCTGGGAGTCAAGATCGAGCATACGGTCTGTCTTGAGAAACTTAACTGTTCCTTTGAGGATGCCCAAAATACCTACAAAGATAGGGAAGAACAGGTTTCAGGAAATGTATGACAAATCCTAGGAGTTTCTTGTGGTGGTGGTTTAGTTTCTAGGTTGTGTCTGACTCTTCGTGACCCCATAACCTATAGCCCACCATTCCTCTGTCCATGGATTTTCCAGCAAGAATACTAGAGTGAGTTGCTGTTTTCTTCTCTAGAGAATCTTTCCGACCCAGGGATAGAACCCAGGTCTCCTGCATTGCAGGCAGATTCTTCACCACTGAACCACCAAGGGAGAGTTTCTTGCCCCCTGTTACATTTATTTCTTGCCTTTCATTTAAAGCAGTAACTGGAAAGGGTAACTTTGGAGCTGCTTTTAAGATCAGGAGGCATTTGTTTGCTCTTTTGAAGTGTGTAGTATCTCTCTGGGGGCCCTCTTCTTGGAATAGCACCTCCATACAACTGAGTTCACCCATGAAAGACCTCCATGCTTTCCCTAAGGGCCCTATTCCCATCCCCTGGGCATCCTATATTCATCAGACCCAGAGCCTGCACAAATGCCCGCTTTGTTCCCAAGGAGTTGATAGGAAGCAGGGAGAAAATCTGTCTGACAGGGAATGGTGAGTAGAGTGCCAAAAATAATGTGAGGATGATAACCACACCAAGGGGATGGGAGACTGGGAGCGTGGTTTTCAGTCCAGTAACTCCACCTTTCTCGTTTGACTTTGAGAACAACGTCGTGATAAGAGAAAGCTCTTCAAAGCCCTACATCACTAAGTAATCCAGGTCCCACTATAAAATGGTGTAGAACAAGCTTTCATGGCCACTGATGCTGCCCCGTTGTTTAGGGACTTACCAAGAAATTTTCCTCTCCTTTGCCCCTCCAGTTGTGGGAGATCCAAGTCAGAATATGATGATGCTCTGGTGGAGTAAGACGGCCTGCTGGATTGGAATCCAGACTTTGGGTTAAGTAGACCCTGGTTCAAATTCTAGCTTCGGAAATTTAGAACTGTGTGGCCTTAAACAAGTTGCTTAACCTCTCTGAACTCCAGTCTCCTTGCTTAAAAATAGAGAGGCTAATGATACATACCTTAGAGGATGATTGTGAAGATGACACGAGACAAAAAATGTCAAGACCCCTGACCCGTAGTAGGTGCTCAATGAATTTTAGTTATTGTGCTTTTAGGGCAAACTTCCACCACTTTCTACTTCAGGGGGAGAAAATAAAAAGGAGCCACCTTGTCAGGAAGCAACAGCTGGTGCTAGGAACAAATGGAACCACATCAGTGGAGAGGGCTGCCCATCCTCAAATTCAAATGCATTTTATAGAGATAGCAATTTGCAGCTTGTCAAATGTTCCCTAACATTTTGCAAAAATTCCCAAATGTCAAATTAGTGAGTAATCTGTACAGGACTGCAGATCTTGTTATCCTCTGACTGATTCATAGCATATTTTGGGTGTCCCAGACACCAGTCCAAGTAAATGTTAGTAAATAAGGAAAATTACATCTCCCCTCACAAGGCTCTCAAGTTCAGCCCCAGCTTCCCCTTGCAAAGAAAGAACATAAACCTTGAGGGCCAGAGAGTAACACTTATTTCTTAGAGTTGATTGAACTGTCACCAATAAGTATATACTCCGCATGTACCATGTGCCCAGGCCTAGGGCAGGCTGGAGGCGGGGACAGGAGTGCAGGATTGGCGGTACAAATTTTAATCACTGACTCCACAATAGCCACTTGTCTTCGTATACAGTATCTTAATCTTCTCAAACGTCCTTTTTATTTATTTAGCAAATACTGAAATTGCACTTGCTATGTGTGTAGTGCTTCCATAAGGGTTTATTTCTTGGTAGAGCCCTACCACACAAGTGGGTTATAAATGCTTTACACTCCTCATAACAACTCAGTGAGGTAGGCACCATCATTATCTGCATTTTACAGAGGAGGAAACAGAGGTTCAGAGAGATGAAGTGACCTTCCCAAGGCAAAATAGAGTGGCAGAGTTAAGGTGACGATCCGGAGAGTCTGGTTCCAAAGTCTGTAACTCTTGACCATTAAATCATGCCTTACAAGATAGGCATTATTAGCGAGATTATCCCCATTTTACAGATGAGGAAACTGAGGTTCAGAAAGGTGAAGTAACATTGCCCAAGATATCACACAGCTACTGGGTGGTGATAGAGCTGGTGTTTAAAACAAGGCCTATCTGTTTATATAACCCTACCCAATGGGTTATATGTTATTATTGTTGTTGTTTGGTCCCTAAGTTGAGTCTGACTCTTTTGTGACCCCATGGACTGTAGCCTGCCAGGCTCCTCTGTCCATGGGATTTCCCAGGCAAGAATACTAGAGTGAGTTGCCATTTCCTTCTCCAGGGGATCTTCCTGACCCAGGGATGGAACCTGGGTTTCCTACATTGGCAGGGCAGGTTCTTTTTATCACTGAGCCATCAGGGAAGCCCATGTTATAAGTTACAGAAAGTCTAAAAAAACCTTGCTGTAAGTAGCTGCTAGTTATGCAGGCCATGCATTAAAAGCAAAGAAAAAGAGGGTGAGAGCGAAGGAAGACCATGAGCAATAGGCACCAAAAGTCTGCCCTCCTACACTATTAACGTTACAAGGAATTAACAGTTATGGCTCCAGTCCCTGGCTCTTGACTCCTGAATGAGAGACGTATTCCCAAAACAGGGCTGAGGGCTCCCTGAGAAATGCCTCTCTGTTTTGCTTTTGTGTTTACAGTTTCACTGACTGGAAGAAAATTGAGACAAACCCAAGTTGCTGAAGCTGCAAGATGTATATTTATATGCTTTCTTTAGAATGTGTGCCTAAACCTTATTTTTTTCACTCTGTTAACTTTTCAAAAACTATTAAGAAGAAGAGTGACTAGATGCTGGGGGTGGCGGGGTGGTGGGGGGAGGACAGGAGAGGGAGGCCGAGAGGGAGATGGTGGGCAGATGACAAGCAAGGCTGAGTTATTTCCGTGCGAGCGTTCCTACCCTGCCCTGGGCTTCTCCGGAAGCTCCAGACGTCGGCGCCCATGGGTGCTCAACAATGGCAGGACTGAAATTTTTGAGGATAATGGGAGTGTGACTTTTGCTGTTAGATGCGAACTCTTAATGGAGGTTCTTGGAGAAGAACTGGATTTAGTAGCTGGAAAATACCAGGGTGAAGTAAGCTGAACTGGAAAATCTTGCTCACTGTATCTCCTTCAGCAAAGAGCCCCCACTTTCTTATCCCCTCTCCTGGCTCAGTGTTCAGTAACACTGGCTGAAGCCTGGGAGCACTGACCTAAGATAGAAGGACCAGAAGAGACTGCTTCACATTGCTCTCCGGGACCCCTTCACCATCTCTGCTTGACAGTGAGTAGGTCAGAGAAATTCCCCTGCATCTCTCTGGACTCCACATTTTCCACCCCCACCACATACAGTTAACCCCCAAGCTCTATCGCTTATAACCTTGGCCACTCTCAACCCCAAGTACATTTTCCATTCCCACTGCTCCTGCTCTGCTCTGTCACCATTGTCTCTTCCTTGATGACTGCCACAACCCCAGCTTGTCTTTTGAATCCAGCCTTGCCCACTTTAATCATCATCCACACAGCAGCTAAGGCAGAAATCTGTGTCATCAGAAAGCCATCGCCCTTAGGACTACGTCCAGGCTCTCTTGGTCTACAGGCTTTTTTGTTATCCAGCCCCGATCTTGTCTCCTGGCTGATTTTTCCCTCCCTTGCATCTTGCGCCCCATTCATACTCAGTGTTTGTAGGTCCTTAAATGCCATGCTCTCTTGCCACCTTCCTAGCTCCCATGCCTTCTTCAGTGGTTGCTTAGCCGTTGCCCCCTCTTCCAGGCCCATGTGCTACCTCCCTCTGCAGCCTGACTTCATGCCCCATAGCCAGTGTGGTCAATGTGGGCTGAAACCCTCTCTTAAAAACCATCCCATGGATGAATGACACAGATGATCTTTAAAAACATAAATCAGATCACACCACTCCATTCCTAAAAACTCTCCAGTTCGCACTTAGAATAAAGTTGAAACTTTTTACTGTCTGAGAGACCTGACTAAATCTGGGTCCTACCCATCCCTCCAACCTCCGCCCATACAATGCCCTCCTTTGTTCACTTATATCCAGACACAGTGACCTTTCTTGTCCCCCAAGACACACCCACGTTGTTCCAGCCTCAGGGCCTTTGCTCAGGCTGTGGCCTCCGCCTGGAACACTCTTGTATTAACTCTGCATTTTACTCAGGTTTCAGTTCAAAGTCACCTCATCAGAGACCCCTTCCCCGACTGTTTGCCAGTGTAATACACACCACAGGTTCTATTGCCTTAGCAGAAGCTAAAATGACCTAGCTTCTTTCTTTACCAAGTTGTTTATTGTGCTTCCGCAATTCAAATGTAAGCTCTGTAAGAGCAGGACTCACTCTCAGCCGTTTCTTCACTGCCCAGAAAAGTGCTTGACACGAGCAGGTGCTCAACAGATAATTGCTGAATGAATGAATGGATGAATAAATGGATGAATGAAAAGAGACAAAGAGGAAAGTTGGAGGACTAAAAGGGCAAGTGAGTGACTTTAGATATATTCCCATTGCTGCTCTGTAACATGAGTTTCTTGTTGAAATTATGAGATCTTTTGACAATATCACTAACACAGAAGGTCACTGTGACTTCCCTGCCAAAATACCTCAAGAATAGACATTATGATTCTTAACAGATAGAAGTACAGAGGTGAGATCCACATAATCATGAAAACTGGAAGAAACCTTCAACATTATTATAGTCCGAACCATTCCCTCAGTGATAGAGATCAAGTAACTTACTTGGTCTCATCACCAGCCAGGCAACAATTCAGGTACCCAGGCAATTGCTGCATGTACATTCTTCTGCCCCTCTGATCCATGAAAAGCTTGTAACTACGAACTCTGTTGGACTTCCCAGGTGGCTCAGTGATAAAGAATCTGCCTGCCAATGCAGGAGAAATGAGTTTGATCCCTGGGTCAGGAAGATCACCTGGAGAAGGAAATGGCAACCCATCCCAGTATTCTTGCCTGGGAAATTCCATGGACAGAGGAGCCTGGTGGGCTACAGTCTATGAGGTGGCAAAAGAGCCGGACATGACTTAGTAACTAAACAACAACTGTATCTGTTTGGTTTCTGGGTCTGCTGGAAACTCTTTCCGAAGTGATTCTTCTTTTTTTCCACATAACTTGTTACTATCACTGCATAACAAATCACCCCCAAAACTTTGTGGCTTAAAATCTCAACAAAACATTGCTATCTCTTGTGGCTTCTGTGGGCCGAGTTTGGGGGTAAGATTGGCATCTCCCATGCAGTAGCCCACAGACAGTGGGTGGAGCTGGCCAGGTACCTCTCTTGCGGTCCCAAGGCCTCTCCTTGGGCTCTCCAGAAGGTTGGCTTGGGCTTCCTCACAACATGGAACCCTCAGGGCAGCTGACTGCTCACACAGAGTTCAAGAGCAAGTATTTCAAAACAGCACAAGTTGCTTCATCTTTTATGGC